GCATTGAAGTTATGCGATAGAGGATAGGAATAGAATGCTGAAGGGCAAACTTAGGTGGAGTGACTCGATGGAAATAACATTGGTGTTCCGGTTGATAGAAGCTGCAGAATAATTTGGTGGGAATGCGATGGCTAAATTGGATCAAATATGTTGCAGTAAATATTCTCGTTTCTCGAATTGCGCAGTGACATCTTTCGAAATCTCATTTTACAAGTAGATTGGCTAATGAGATTCAATTAAATAATAATTTGTTAACACGAATTCGTTGCATATTAATTAATTATCCAAAGTGACTAAAAATTATGCTTGCATTTTGTCACCTTTGTTAATATCGTTAATAATATTTAAATATTAAATTAAATATTATTTATATTATATTTACGTTATATTTATTTTTATTTATTATTATTATTTATATTATATTTATATTAAATAAAATTACAATTCGTAGAATCGTTGGATTGATAAGAACTGGACTGATCACCTAATTGTATAAAAGATGATCCTGGACTGAATTGAAATGCAGAATTGAATTGTATAATTGTAAATCAATTTATTTGTTACATAATCAACTTTGCAGGTAAGCCTGAAGTTAACATTTAAAAATGTTAGTTGAGTCTTCCTCATTTCTACCAAATAACATTAAGAACACGCTAAATCAAGCTACTCAATACACCATTCTGTAATCTGACACCTTTAATACTTACACTATTGCTATATAGAAAATATAGTATCATTTAATGGTATCATTGGTGCCTATACAGGTGAAATATTCTTCACAATCATATGGCAATAAAATATTAGATAAAGCATTCATTATTCAAAATTTACACCATCCTCCAAACCTAATTGTCCATCCAGTCCTTAACATTATTAATCAATAGTTCCCAAAGATTTGAAAATTTTATTCAAATTCTCCCCCCTTTTTCCAAACATTAAAATCAGTTCATCAAACTATCCAATTATGCTACAATCAAAATCATGATTAACCATAACCCTCCCCTCCCTTTTTAATATCAAACCCACCAAAAAAGTAAAAAAAGAAAATGTAACAAAAGAAGATAATGGAAAATTAAAATAATGAAAAAATGTATCATATATAGGGTGGACCATTTATTTAATTATTGTAAAAATAATAAAAAAATTATTTCAAATAACAGGATGTGAAAGAATAACGCGAAGGTAGTAACAATTGACTATTGTTACATTGACTATATTACTCAACTATACATGTCAAGTGGTCCACCCTATATATATTCCAAGAACAATCACGAAGTTAAAGTAATAAGACCGAATACGTAATTTTTAATCAAAAATCGTCGAGAGACAGTCATTATGGTCGCGGTGGGTTTAATACTAAACAGAAGAAAATCGATAGCATTCGGGGAACCTGCTTTTAAATTATAATTCCAACCTCCAAAAATTAAGGTAGTTTCGGCTATAAAATTCCTGCATTGCATTCAGCGGAGAGAACTGGCCAGCAGGCCAAACACGTTACTCTTCCCTGCATTCCAAGCGCAGTCCCGACTGCGCGGATCCATCCAGTAGGAATGCGCGAGTGGACCTGTGTCCGTTATACGATACGCTCCTCAGATTCCAGGCGATCGGGAAAACCGGCCAAGAAGTCCATCGCCCACGCAGTGCCGATTACGCTTATCGATGGAACGCGAGAGCTGCGGAGAACGCGCTCTCTCGATATTTCTTTCGACTTACCCCCACCACCGCTACTTTCACCCGCGTAGAGGATCTCGCGAATGGCGACCGTTACGTAAGTCGATTGATTGGTTAATATCGCGACGGAGGTTTCTCCAAACGATAAAACATAAGGGAGCTTCGAGGTCCTAAGAATCGAACGTAAATTGCTATGCCAGTCTCACGCGAGCATTTCATATCAAATTCGAAGATGTTACTTTGAGGTTAAGTTGATTCATTTCTTGCCAGACGTGGTGAAGGTTAGAGTTGGAAATCTTGAGATTTTAAAATGTCAAAAGTAATGTCGTATGCGATTCGAAGACACTATTTTGAAGTTAAAGCAATTTATTTGCTAGACGTAGTGAAGATTAAAGTCGGGAATATTGAGATGTTAAAATGTCAAGGGTAATGTCGTATGGGAATATATTATATGAGATTCGAAGACACTATTTTGAGGTTAAGTTAATTTATTTTGTTACCAGTGTGGTGAAGGTTAGAGTTGGGAATATTGAGATGTTAAGATATCAAAAGTAATGTCTTATGGGTGTATATAATATGAGATGCGAAGACACTACTTTGAGGTTAAGTTAATTCATTTCTTACCAAACGTGGTGAAGGTTAGAGTTGGGAATATTGAGATGTTAAGATATCAAAAGTAATGTCTTATGGGTGTATATAATTTCAGATTCGAAGACACTATTTTGAGGTTAAGTCAATTAATCTCTTATGAATGTAGTGAAGATTAGGGTTGGAATTTTTGAGACATTAAAATACCAAAAGCAATATCTTATGGGAGTATATAATATGAGATTCGAAGATACTATTTTGAGGTTAAGTCAATTAATCTCTTATCAGTGTAGTAAAGATTAGAGTTGGAATTTTTGAGATATTAAAATACCAAAAGCAATATCTTATGGGAGTATATAATATGAGATTCGAAGATACTACTTTGAGGTTAAGTCGATTAATCTTTCATCACTGCAGTGAAGATTAGGATTGGAATTTTTGAGATGTTAAAATATCAAGATCTCTTTAAAGCCAGAAATGTTTTGAGTTTCCCAAGCCTAGTCGAAATTGGTTGATATTGGAGATTATATTGGGTAATATCGAGTATTTTTCGAGATGTCGAAATCCTTCAAGATGAAGAACTCGGGAAAGTTTCGAGTTCCGTAAACCTAGACCAAATTGGTTAATATCAGAGACTGGTTTTTCGAGATATATCGAAACCCTATGAAACTCAAGAATTTTTCCCCATTTCTAAAAATAACACGAATTACTGTATATGATTCTCTAATGAAGAGAATATAAATTTAAAAATCATACGAAATTTCAAGACTGAAAAAATACATTTCAAACCCGCCCGCAGTTCATAAGAAAACTATTTATAGTTAGAATTTCAATATAATTATGATCCATTATTATTGTACGTCTTTGATATACGGTAAATCATAGAAGTGATTTTACCTGAATTATTCATTTCCAACCTAATTGAAAATTAAATTCAGACCCACCTCTAGTTCATACGAAAAATGTATTTAAAATTCATTGAAATTTCAATATAATCACGATTGCATCCCCTACTACTGCATGTTTCCAATGCACAATAAATCATAGAGATATTTACACCCTGTATATTTACACCCAATAATTTATTGCAATTTTAATTTCATCCATTACCATTGTCTCCAATATACACTATTACCCACCCCAATTATCAATCCTCGAAAATTAAAAAAATTCCCGAACGAGGAAAAATAATTAATCAAACTTCTCTCTAATTAAACAATCCGAATTTTATCACGAGGTAATAATTTTTCCAAACTTGATCAATTAATCACTATCTTTGAGCTTCCATGGATAAGCTCAGGGATCTATCAATGATGCAGCGTCACTAAAATTTTTAACCAGATAACACCGACGAGTTTTAATTACGTTATCTTTCAGACTTGTTCTAATCTGTAGAAGAATCCTTATTGACGTTGCAGGCGGGTTAAAAATCCTAGATTTTTGCGATTTTAGCGATTTCCCGTTTAATCGAGACCCCACTGCAAAAGCTCTATTGAAATTTTCATCGGGGAAACAACGAGTTTAACATCCAGGCAATTCCCTGTACAGCAGCTGAGGGATATTTGGCGTTGAACTGGGAACTCGTACATCAGCAGAGAAGATTAACCCCGTTTCGCGATTATAACGAGCAAAATCTTATTTCGAACTATGTCTACAGCATTGAGAGTCAAAGACTAATCTTGCTACCCTCACTGTCGCGCGTCTGCTTTCTTTGGTGCATAAATTCCGTTCATTATCATTACCATTGATGCTAAAACTAGACGTAATTCGGATTATCTATTTTTGCTTTGGGTTTTCGCTTTTAAATCCTTATACTTTTCAAAGTTTGAACTTTGAGATTCTATCTTGATTATCTATGGAAAATAATTCTTTTTAAAAATTTTTTTTAAGTTTTCTTGTCTTGATTTTTTGTTGAAAATAATTCCATTGTTTTTATTTTTGCCTCAATTCTTTATTGAAAATAATTCTTTTCCTTTTGCTATTGTTTCAATATTTTGTTGAAAATAATTCTCTTTTTTGTTTTATTTTTACCTGAATTTTTTGTTGAACAGTCCTTTAACATTTTATCTATGGGGTCATAACGTTGGTTTCCTATGGCAGTATTCAATTTGACACTAAATGGCGTTATCCATAGATAAAGTGTTAATAAATATTAATTATCTTTAATACAAAAGTTTCTTAATTTGGACTACTTATTTTTGCTTTGATTTTCTATTAAAAATAACTCTTTATTATTAAATATAAAGATTGAAAAATATACACAAAGTCGTAAACAATTACTTTCTCAAATTTAATCCCAATCCAACTATATCCACCCTATAAATAATTATATGGTCACGAAAATGGTAACAAAACTATCCAAACATATCGACTCGGAAATACGAAAACCGAAATCTAAAAGTATCCTGTGGCAGATCGAGTAAAAAGGAGAAATAAAAGACACGAAAAATAATCGCACGGACAAATCACTATCCAGCCTACCTCGCCACCCCTCATTAGACACCCCTGCCCAATTAGCCCCCAGAATCACGGCGGGAGTGACCCACGCGACCCGAAAAAGGTCTCGCCGCCCAATAATCATCCCCAAACTGCCGATATTCTACGATGAGAATTCGAAAAAAGGCAGTCGGGCGAGCCCGTGAAACCCTTTTTCCTCGTCAACGGCTCAATAGCCCGGCTTATAGCCGGCTGAACGTGGTTCTTCTCGCGAATAAAAGAATTTGTAGACGCACTTCACTTACCCCTTCGCAGTTTCAGGGTGACGGGGTCCGACGAGAGCCGCAGACATTTCAGCACTGAAACACAAAACGACGGAACTCCGTCAGAAAAGACGCTGGGCAAAGGGTCGCAGGACGGCAAACGTAGCGAAAAATAAAGGAGGAAGAAGAAGATAGGAACGAAAAATAAGAAGGGAACGGAGGAAAAAATGGAGGGTGAAAGGGTTGGCTAGACCGTGATGTCGTTTGCGAGAGGAACCCGTGGACGTTCTAGGCCTCGAAGAGGGTGGTCGCCATCGTGCTTGGATTAACGAGGGAAACGAGCTCCTCCTGACGAAAAGGATGGTTCTGGGTCGCAATTTTGGAGGCTGGTTAACCGTTCCCTCGCGAAACACGGTTTTAAGGCGGGCAAAATGGAAGATTTAACTCGACGCGTTAATGGGATAGGCTGAGGGATGAGTTCGAGGGATGAGAGCCGCGGGAATGTGTGCCTTGCGCGATTAAGATGGCGGGCCGAGACGGTTGGTTTAATTAAACGTTGAGTCTGTGTGAACCCTTTGCTTCTGCAATACTCTACCGAACGTCTCTCGAGGACCGGGTGTCTTCGAGTCTTAACCCGGTAGATCTCGTGGCCCTCTTTCTTCGGTTGGGGGTCGTAGGAAAAATTATTTCGGATTATTCTAGCCCTATAAGGAAGAAAGAGGATCTTTGTCGAGTATTCCAAAATCACTATAATCGACAAGAAATCATTGTTGTACGAAACCAGCTGAGGATTCTCATTGTGGATACCTGCTCTCAGTGTATTCTACCAATTAAGATATTGAACACCTTGGGTATGCAATAAATGATTAATAATTTTGTATTTGTATATACTTTATCACATTGGTAGTTGTTATGATTTCGAATGCGATGTGTATGCGTTATACTAAGTGATATTGCGTTATGTCTGTGTTCTGATGCATTCTATATGCATTCTGACTTCTGAGTTCTGTTTAGCTGTGTTCTCTTCGAGTTCTGTATGATTTCTGATGTATTCTCTTCGAGTTCTATATGATTGACCACCGTAACGATCATATACGACTAATACCAAACCACCATTTTGCTATATAACAAAATCATGACCAATCGTCGATCTCGATATCGATCGAAAGAGGATTCGAAGCTTCGAAGCACCGGGAAACAAATTTCCCCGATTCCCAGAGGGTCTTGGACAAACTTACGTCCATCTGCACGAACGTCCCGCAGGACTAAACACCCGCCCCACCATCCCATTTCCGGACAAGCGACCGGCCAAGTTTACCAATTATACCCGCGAAACGCAAACGCGCTGAGCCGAGTCGAGCAGACGCGAACGCTTCACGGATCACGGGACTGAAATATCGCCTCGTGTCTGTCCGCGATGTCAGCTTGTCAAATTAAACGAGAGCCAGAGGAAATACGGGGTGGCCGATATTGCGCTGCCTCGGACGCTTCACGCTCGACCAAACGATTTCATCCATGTTCCTTGTGCCTCGCGAAACGATCACGATGGTACAAGCCTGATCCGAGCGATTTCCAGCGATCGTAAAACCATTCGAGCCTAAAAGTACAAGCGTTTCGACTCCCGACGAGCGATTCGGAATATTTAGGAGGGGTTACGTGGAAATGGTAACGTGCGGTTGCAATGGCCGAATATAATAACGAATCATGGCTACAGTCGACGATGTGACTATAGATATGTGTGTCTACATCGCATAAGCATTCGAAATATCAAATGCAAAGCGGTTGATGATAGAGTGAGGAGTGGTTCCTATAAGGTATATAGCTTTAGTAACAGTAATGCGACTATAGGAGGCCTGTTACTAGGAGCACACAGTAGCAGTTGAGTATAGTCAGGTTTAGGATAGGTTTGGATAGTAACAATAAGATCACGTTTCCTACGAATTGCGTTTAGAGTGAAAGAAGATGGTAGAAGAAGTTAGATATAGGTTAGGTTTGGTCACTTGCCTAATTCGTGTCACTTACATTATCATATTTTACCTATTTTAATTCCATTATATTTATCAAATTAATGAATAGTATCTTCTCACTTAGTAGCACTTATACTAAAAATTAAATATTAATAATAGCTGAACAGAAGATAGAAGTTAACCTATAACTTGTAACACACTTAGTCAATCCCGAAAAGAATAATTTCTACATCTAATATTACTACTTCTACATGTATTGCATTAATGAAAAACATCTGTGCGCCTAATAATAGACGCATTGAACAATAAATAATGATGACAATAATGATCAATTTTAAAAAAAGATAAAAGAGAGCAATTTAATCTCGAAGCGCACACTTCAATCCATTATTTTCATACTCAACTATCCAACTAACCAATCAAGCGCTAAACGGCAGAATAAAACTACTTCCAAAAAAAATTTCAATTCTCCGTATTACTCCGTGACTGGGCCCCAAAATGTACGGCGGCTGAAGGTAACTGCATCGTCGATATAAAATTAACCAAGGGTCATTTCGTTTGATGCACCGGTGCTCGCGAGCCACCGGTAATACAGTCAATCAAGTGTCCCATTTCACGTGCACGGCGCGAATTCAGACCTGCGTCATCGTAAAATGGCCGCTAATGGCCCACCTCGCCGTCGTCTAACCCAGATGTATCAAATTCGCAGCGCCATCACCTCGATGAACGCGACATCCGTCGGACGAAGTCGGAAGAAGAAAAAGCGGGAAGAAAAGAGAAGAAAAAGGGAACTCGGGTGAAACTCCGTTGCTTATGAGCGAAACTTCCTTCCTGTGCGTCCATTCCCTTTCATCCGAAGTGATCCACTGCTCTTAACTCGATTCTTACTCGAAATTACCTGTAACTTTGAACCCGACTCGTTCGTAATCTCGTTCGACTCAACCCTCAGTCGCGCGAATGGCTCGAATGAAATTTCTTCTACGGTTTCTCGTTTAACTTTGCTTTCTTCTTGTTCAGGGATGTGTCAGACGAATGATTAATCATGAAAGTTTCGTTTATTGGATCTTTTGATTCTATTCTTTTAAAGAGACTTAATTACTTTTTTTTTTTATTCGAAACAGTGGAATGTAGACTCGTGTGTTTTTTTTGACGAATATTGGTTTCAAAAGTGAATTCTTACGAATGAAGAACAGAGAATTTTAAATTACAAGAAGGAATGTCAAAGTTGGAATTATCAGAATAAGAAAGCTTTTTCAGTTTCAAGATTTCGAGGTTAGAAAATCAACCAAATAAGAAGATAATATATGAGAATTATGGGGAAAGAAGAATTTACTATAATAACATAAATCCCGAGTCAAAAATATGTAGAATAAAACGAACACAAAAAAATTTTTGAGAATCCTATACATCACTATAATAATGTCCTTATTGGTTTTCACAATAATATATTTTTATTTTTATATCTTATCTAATTCCACTCGATTAACATTGAAGAATTAAATTATTATTACTATTTTATATAAGTCAATTCAATTGAAATTAAATTTTATTAATAGCTACATTAACGAGGTAAAAAAAGTAAGAGTAAAATTAAAATTTACGATTAATCGAAGTTAATCTAATCTCTGTTGTGTTTAATTGATATTAATTACTGGAATCTCGAACATTACCAGGAATAAATATGACATGGATGGGCTGACTGAATTGACAGATTAGTAGGTTAAGCTAAACGCGATCAACATAACCTCTGAATTGGTCGTTGACTAATCTGAAGGAAACGGATTGTTCACTTACGTATACGATTTTCCTTCGTGTTATCCAATTCGATTTCTATGACCATTACTACGTCAGAAGTTTTTTCGCGAATTTTAATACAAGCCAAAAAAGAAGATATAAAAATGCGTGAACCGAGCGGACAAAACGCGACCAGAACGAAACGAAGATCGTGATGTTTCGAATTTCAACACGGAAACACTTCTTGACCTTAATATTATATTTTATAATTTTATAACTTCGAAGCAATTCTATATTCTTATAAAAACAAAAGAATATTTTATTTTATTCGTCGAATAAATAAATAAATACCTCTTGAGATATATATCTTGAAATGCAGAGACACGGGATCAACGTATATTCGAAAAACTGATGATAGAAGAATAACTATTTCCAAATGTTTCGAACAGAGTTCATCTCTAAAACTAATATCACAGTGTGTAAAAAATTCCTTTCAATCTCGAAATTCAAAGCACAGCGAGCAAAGGCGTCCGTAACACAATGGAACAAAACCGACGTGAAATTCGATCAGAAAAATTCCACGCGTAAGAGTAACTATGGTGCCCCCTTTCTCATCTACGAACATTCGATTTCTCGTACGCCCGAATGAATTCTATAGAACCTTCTGTCATGCGACTTCCGCCGGAAATCGCCATATAAATTTACCACCCGCGCCCTCTGCCTGTTTTATGGAAAATCCAGTCGGTCGATAGGCGCGCCAATAAATCCCTATAAACTGGCCGTTCCTCGCGAAGTTATTGCCATCTACCGGCGAAACACGCCGCGAAGCGAGAATCGTGCATCTTCCCGCCAGGAAACACAGCGTTTTCCCGTTACTTTACGAGTCGAACCATCGAGAATTTTTCATGCTCGATCGAGAGTTCCATTGACCTTCGCGAGAAGAGAACAATCGAGGGATAAAAACCGCTGGACCGACTTTCACTCGATCGATCTCGTTTTCTTCTTTTCTTTCTCACGATCGTAATTCGTTGGCCATTCGGGATGTGGCAATTACGAGAAAGTTAATCGCGTTGACCTTCGAAGCTCTCGTATCTGCGTGAGAGAATTTCGTTACGGTGAAAGCTCGACAGGGGGAGTTGTGGTTCAGTTCTGCGAGAGTAATGGAATTTCTGACTGTGAATTTCGGGGATTGGAAGGGGGGAGCAGGTATTTGTTATTTATGGTTCTGCATATGATATGGCTATCTCACAACAAATGGGATATTATACTGCGCTTAATGAATTTTTGGACGGTGAATTACTTTGAATCTAGTTTCAAATATACATTTAAATTTGAGATCAGGTAGGATCTGTGATTGAATTTGAATTTCATATTTTATTTTAATCTGAATTTTAATGGAATTTTATTTCAATTTGAATTGGAAAATTTTTCATTTATATAATTCAAGATTTGAAATTACATCGTGTGATTATCATGAGTGAAGACAATGATGCAATATTTCTAAGAAATGTGGAAATTACCTTAAAATCGTGACACATTTTAAGTTTTAATCGAACAAAACATAGATACACAGATAAGATCAAAGAAGTATATAACAAGCTTTTTAAATTTTGCTAAATGGAAAACAACTTACTCATACTTTTATTACAAGTCAATTTCTTAATGTTATCTTTGCAATTACGCTCTTATGATTAAAATTTAAAAATAAAGATAATGATTAGATGTCACGTTCCGCGTAAAAACTAATTATTTTAAACACACAATTTCATCAAACAATTATAAATTCATTTTTACAAAAAATAACTTTTCATAAATTATTAATTATCGGTCAGAAAATTTCCTTTAATAATACAAATGATAGTAACAATAGGAAAAAAAGATACTAAAAAATAAACTGAAGTTATTTGATCATAAAGTGTCATTACAAGCTCACAAATACATATATATAACTTGTTTTAACAACTCTGACACGAATAACCACCAAAACAAGGTCACAATTCTTGATACAAATTAATTCTCTCAATTCTGAGTCATAGAATATCATTTCAAGCATTACAGATGCAATCTGCCTTGAAATCTCTGCCAAAAACTACCAACAACCAAGATTACAATCAAACTACGTAGAAACCAAACCGATCATTTCCACGAGATATTTATTATAAGAGAGGTTAACTCAACTACCAACACTTATTTCCTAGGCACTCAAGTAAATACTGAGCTTATTACGTACTTAACATAAAATCACTATTAATAATTATTAACATCAATTCTTATACAGAAAAAATACAATTCATACGAGATGAATCGAAAAGTTCTTGATTGCGTTCTAGGAAGAAACGAAATCAACCACGCGGGAGAATGTATCACGTAGAATCCACTCTCTCCGCCAGAGTTCGCGTCAGTAGCCGAGGGTTAAGCATTAATCATAAATCGTGCTTATTAATATCAGAAAAATTCATGAAAAGTGAAATCGATCGGTCTGACTCGCTGAATAATTTCATTTCACGTATAAATTAACTGGCTTGATTCTTAAAAAGAAAAAGCAGCTTCCTTCGATTGCTAAATCGTCACGATCAAACACACAAGAATATATCCTGCGAGCGTTCGATACGCCGTGTCGTGGATAAAAAGGTGATACTTTTCAACAGTGGCGCAAGAGGGCAGGAGATGGAAGGGGGAAGAAGAAGTGGCCAGGAGTGGGGAGGAAGAACGAGTGCACTCCGTCGAATGTGCATTATATCGCGAGAAAGAGATGGAGAGAGAAGCTAAAGCAGGTCGGTCTTCTTACCTTCTTTAGTACTGAATCGGTTGACATCGACTTCGTTCACCCTGAGTATGACGTCACCGGCCTCGACCTGCAAAACCAACAGACACCGTTTCTATGAAAACGCATTCTGCAGAAGGATCAATTGGTCAGGGATGACGAATTGCCGTGTAACCGGAGGGCCCTCTATTTGCTCCCCGCTTTTGGCAATTCGACGACAGAACGAATTCCAGCACCCCCTGGCCAATCGGCGAGCGGAACAGCCATTATGCAAATGTCTCGCTATTATCCGTAATCTACGACTCTTTCTTTTTGGCTTTTTATTCGACTATTACAGTAGGTCTTTCAACTTTTATTTTCTTTTTATTAATTCAATGCTATTATTCAGATATAATATCTTACGTATTTTAAATATATCCATTATTATTAATTCTTGAATTTTTCTTTGTAGTTCTTTTATTGGCGCGCAATTTGAATGCGAGATACGTGCTCCGTGACAAGGAAACATTCGGTTTTGTTGTATCTTAAGGAAAAATTCAATTTGTACATATCTAACATCGAAAGAAAAGCTATTGCATTGAATTCTTGATGGATTCTTCGCCTTTATATTTATTCTGCGCGAATACCGAATCGCAGATTCAACATGGCCGCCTTTGGTAAGAAGCAGAAAATATTTATTCAATGCGAATGTAGAATAGCAATCGTTTACTCGATTGAAATGAGAAAAATTGAAAGGATTGAGAGAAGTAAACATGCCTGTATCGTTATACGGAAGAAACTAACCGATGGGAATAAAAGTTCGAATATGATTGTTTTAAAATTCATATCGTACAGCGGAGAGTAGAATTGTCGATAAATCGGCGAACGGAACCGCCATTATGCAAATGCCTGGTCGTTAACGGTCCTCTGTATTTTTATCCATTCTTATTTATTCTTCCTCCTTTCTTTTTTCCTTTTAATTTCGATAGTACAAATTTTCGCGCATTTTTATCATTTTCGTAGTACACTATTTCCGAAGAAAAAGAACACCGTGTGAATTTCTGATCACTCCGCGAGCGAATTGGAACGTGAAACACGTTTCGTGATACGGAAAACTTGGAAAATTTAATTTGAATTTCTACTGTAGAAAGAAAAGTGGTTCTATCGAATTCTTGACACCTGCTATAAGTATTTTCATACTTATTTTACAGGAATATCGGATGGAGGTTAGAAGTTCTGGGTAGAAAAGAAGAACAAAATGAAACACGTTGATTCGATGAGAATGTGCAATGATAATAATTTTTCGCAATTCAATGGAGGAAAAATTGGAGGAATTGAAGCGATTTAAATTAGCAGAAACATTTTTGCTATTAAATGGAAAAGTTTAATCGCAATGGAAATAAAAGCTGGGATATGAATGTTTTTCGAGACTTCACGTTGTGAAGGGGAGCAGGAATATCGATGGAATTTAATATCCTGCGAGAGAGTACTGATGTTGAACGAAAAATGGGACGAAAAATTTAGGAAATTTTTGTTTATTCAACTCTTCAGATACATTCCCTTTTTGTAGATATTATACTTCACTATACTATCTTCTCAAAATAGCATGAATTGACTATTCCTTTTAAGTTCAGTAATTTTAGTTGATTAATCAACAATAGTTGATGTATGAATGACTATAGTATCTTAAAAGGAAATTAATTTCTAAGGTATCTTCTGTATTATTTACAACAAAACTCGTGAACCTGCTACTCTCGTTAGACGACCTTTAGAATATTTTTTAACGAACTTTATATATATTTACACGTTCTTTTCTTTGTTTTTTATTTTATTTTTTAAGCACTCGTTTAACTAACATTTATACGGTTTTTCTAGATTTTACTTCCTTTTACACGGTTCACAGAAAATATCATGATATTCAAATGTCCTGTATGAATATTTCAAGTATCTTTTTCCACGTATATCTTTTTCTTTACTTCCTCTCTGAGATAGTATGCTACACAGTGAAACTGTGTTCATTTTTTAATTCGTTTCTTTCCATTTTTCTCAACACACTGACCTCTTTTCGATGTGCTTCCTAAATAAAATATCTTCCGCGAATATACTCCTGCATTCTGAATTGCTTTTTGTACCATTTTGCGTCACTTCGACGAAATTCGTGCGATTCGTTGTAAATCAATTTTTACACTTTTTTCCTGCATTCGATATTGCGAGAAGAGAGAAGTTCGGGTATATTTATGACGAGTATAATAAATTCCATCGTCTGCTCTTCCTATATTAAAATTCATAATATCCCACTCGTCGAGAAAGCGCAAGAATGAGGGTCAATGCGATTAACTTGGCAATTAGACTGAGTTTCCAACAAATTTCGCGAGTTATTCAACAATACCAGCTATTCAGCGGAACAAGTAAATCAAACGAGCGTAGTATTCCCATCGTTGCTAAAATCCACTCGCTGTACTATTCCCATGCTTACGTAACGGCTACGTAATCTTCACATCATCGACTGAATGGAACGACCGAGGAAACGAATGTACTTTACATAACTTACGCTCGTAACTCGCAATATCTGATCGAAAATTGTACTCACGAATCCAACAAACGTCACTCCTAAACTTCACCGAAATATTAACATGGACGATACTTAAACAGCAATACGGAAAAATAAAATGGCTCGTATCGAGAACGATATCGTTTCTTCATAAAATAACCAGAGAATCTGACGTATCGGAAGGAAAAACATAGGCTTCCATTTGAAAGAATAGTGCAACCGCAGAACACACATGCACCGTTGCACACCCGAAGAAAATACGGTCCTGGAAACGTGGTTCCCTTTGAACCAGTCCCCTCTTTTCTAACGTTTCTTTCTAATTGCAATCGGAAAAGAGGTACGACTTGTTCCACTTGCATGATCCAACTGTATATTATCGTGGCTGTATTGTTCCAATGAGTAATAATGGCGGTGTGCGTAGTACTATAACTGTTCAGTCGACAAAATGGCGCATTTAACGAATTTCCAATGCAAGTAAGATTTATTAAAAAGTGCCTCTTCGATTCAGGTAAATTGATTTCTCGTCAAGTTCTAAGCTTTCAAACTTTCAAGGATTACAGAAGATTAAGCATGTATAGTAAAATGCCTGTAATAAGAACTATGTAAAAGACACTAGACATTCAAGTTCCCATAAATAATTTAGAAGGCACATGAAAGTATTGATCAGTAAGAATTTAACTTTGCTAATTTATAATATTATCATTATTACTACATTATCATTGTTACTTTACCATTATTACATCATTGTTATTGCCATTATTACAATTATTACCATAATTATATCAACAAATATTTTCTAGGGATCTTTCTAGGGACAAGATCAAACTTAACCTCGGAAAAGAAATTCTAAAATGTTATTGTGAAAATCACTCGGTGGAAAAAGGAAATACGAAGTTCGAGGGGAAAACCAGAAACGTATTTCAACGATTGAATATCTGAAAATACGGCTCCCCATGTTTTGCGCCATTACTTCGCGAGTTCGAACTTCCCTGAAAAATTATTCCCCTATTTCTTCCGCTGCCGTCGCCTCCTATTCCCTATGGCCTGCCTCATGGGAAATAGTTCCCCCATCAGGAGAAAAAGAAAACGAAATTGTTTAGAAAAAGCTATCCGTCATAAGCGGAAAGGCTGATAAGACGCCACCAGGTGGCAGCATTGTCGGCACGGGCAAATCCTTCTTTCTGCCTGGACAAATAAAGGAGCAGCTGACGCGTGCAAGAAGATCGAAGTCGCTGGGTATAGTTCCCTCTATCTTATAACAGGCTACAAGCTCTACCGGTATTATAATTTCATTTTAACTCTGACTTTAGTTCCAGGCTGTAGCATCGTAGACCATTGGGAATAAATTTTACGAGTTTCCAATATTACCAAAGATTATTTCAACTTACAAACTCGACAAAACCAAGAGATACTACTTTATACTCGTGATGACAATCTTTCTATTTTATTCTTCTCCAAGTTGATCAACTCAATAAAAGAAAACGTAGGAACTTGCTTTAACCCTAGACTTCAATTGGCAAAACCTATCAAAAGGCATAAAAGTAGACAAATCAAGAGGTATGACTAAAAAGAAGATCACCTAACCTTAAATTCTATACAGAAACACCACAGAAAAGAACTCAAATTTACATCATGTACATAAGTACACACATGGTGTATATACCACAAATCAGACCTCTAATTATTCACCCGCTGTCGACAGTCCAAGGAACTATTCAAACCAAAAGTAACTACGTGTGTACCTAATTACAACAAACTTTTGACCCAGCAAGAAATTACTACTTTAATCGTAATTGCAGTTGTTGAAGAAGTCGAAGACCCACACTCCAGCAACGACTCACCGCAGCTCAGGAGTCTCCTCTAAAGAAGAAATTACCGCGAGGTGTAGAGGCAAATCGTTCGCGTTTAACAACCTAGCCAACGTCAATCACGGGCAAGAAAGACAACGAAACATGCAATCTCGCGGCTTTATCGCGGAAGGTGCATCGTCTGACTGGGAACACGAGGCCAGACAGGGCGCTTGCACGTAACTTGAACGTCGCATGCACTTATGCACCGTGCCTTGCGCTAACAATAACGCGAAACTGCAGCAGCGATATGTGTGCATCCCGCGCAAATGCGACCGTCTCGCGCTATTGTTTCGATGCACGGCCGCTTAGCCCCGTCATACCTCCCCGTAAAACATTGTCCTCCGCTGGACGGAAAATGTAAATCTTTCGGTATATACCGTGTGTCCCGCGCGGACCGCGTCTGTGTGCTTTATTGCTGTTCGGCCGGGTGAAAAATTTCGCGGAGCCAGGAAGCCGGGGAATATTTCTTCCTCGCGCGGTCATTATTTTTCCGAAAGTGGGAGAAGCTGTAATTTGAATTTCAACGTGAAATTTTTTCCCTTTCTTTCTTTTTGGCTCTTTGTTTTCTAACGGTATTGAGGGGTACTGCACGAGATCTTTGAATGGAATGAGCTTTTGAGCTTTAATTTTTAAAAAAGGAGACTATTTTGAGAAATGTAAAATACGTTTCAATTGTGTTTAATATGATGGAGATTATCTTGTCTTTTGAGT